CGCCCGGTGCATGTGCGTGCGTGCCCAAGATCCCGAGAGGAGAATGGAGGAGAAGGGATTGCGGCGTGACCATCCCCCCTGGGGGGTGATTTCTTGCTTTCTGTCTCTATGTCTCTCTGTCTGGCGAGCGCACACGCCCTATAGTGAAAAACCTCTCCAAAAAAATAATAAAAAAGAATTATTTAATTTAATTTATTATTGTTACTACTTTTTTTAATTTGACCAGAGAGGGAAAATGAGAAAGCAAGCCACCAGGACTAGACTCAAATCACTGTCAGCCATGCGAGAGCCTTAACCACCACATTACCAGCCAGCCCCAAAGACAAGTGTGTGTGTGTTTGTTTTTGACAGAGTCTTGTATATCCTAATTCTTTTGCTTCAGGCTCCCAGTTGTTTGGCATTATTGAGTATAAACTGTACCCAGTCCTGGAGCCTGACACGTTCAGGTTGGCGCAGGAACTGAACCAGGCCTCACATACGGCTTCCAGCCTCTCAAGAAGTGATGCTGTCTGTAGGTCAACTTGACTGGGCCCCAGATTGTTTTCTATACACTACTGCATTTGAACAGAACAGTAAGCCTGCAGAGTTGATAGAGCAGATATTGTTTCCATTTAATAGACAAGAAAATTAAGAGAAATGTTAACCCATCCAGTCATTGTGCTAATGCTTTAATAAAAACATTTTATTTATTTATTTATTTATTTATTTATCTGGGGGTTTTTTTAGCCACAGCTCAAGTGCTCACCAGAGAGAGAAAGGGGGGGGGGAATCACCCCCAGGGCGGATAGCCATGCTACAATCCCTTCTCCTCCATTCTTCTCTTGGGATTTTAGGAGGGAACACACACACACATGCCTGGTGTAATTTTCAAGCCGCCAGGTCTGGGACTCACACCATGGTCAGCCATGAGGGAGTCTAACCTCTTCGCTATCACGCCACCTGCTGGCCCTAAGAACATATCATTTTATTTATAACAATATTGTGCCTTTGTCTACTATCCTTCCATAATATAGGTATTTATTACAGAAATATGTTTATACAATAATTCAAAATATTCATAAAGGGCTAGCCCTGTGGTCTAGGGGTTAATGAAGCCAAATCCTACATAGCTGATGGTGGTTTGAATCTCAGATCCAGCAGCTTGAAAAACATGTCAAGCGTGTGGGCATATATGTCCAAAATCTCAACTGGATAGTAAAAGGGATTATGATGTGATCATGGCGCATTGGGGAGTGCTTTCTTCCTCTCACTGGTGAGTATATGTGCCTCTGGCAATTAAAAAAAAAAGTTACAGAAAAATAGAATTAAAGTATGAGTGTTTTGGTACAAAACTTTTGAAATCCAGACACATTATTTTTCACAATACATATTTTTGTAAACTTTTTGAAGACTCACCTCTTATATCCTGGCTATAATTTTTTTTTCTACAAGGAACTCTCAATTATGTTTCAGCCACTTGTTATCATAGGAATTCCACAAAAAGAAAAAAAAAATGAAGACGTGGTTAAGAAAGAGAAGGTCATTTTTGTTCATGTTCAAAGAAATTTTCAATTAAAACAATCTTTGGGATACTATTAGGCCCCAACAAAGCATTAATTTTAGAAATGATATATGGGGGACCAGTGGATGGCATAATGGTATATCACTAAATTCCCACAAAGCTGACTATGGTTTGCCATCCCTTCTCCTTCATTCTCCTCCTGGGATTTTGGGCACAAATGTTTCAAATGAGACTTGAGCTGCACTCTGAAGAATGACTAGGATCTTCAGAGTGGACAAAAAGCAGCTGGATGTTAGAGAAAAAGAAATGATGTGAACGAGTGTCTGAAAACACATAGAGAAATGTATTTACTAGACAATGTGGAGCACATACCTGTCCTAATGTAATGGTGACTAAAGACAAGTACAGCCTTGTCCCATTGAGCCTTCAGTCTGGTAGATAAAAACTGTTTTTAAGGTTAGCCCTCAGAGATTTCAAACTGGTATTTCTCTGGGTCAGATTTTGAGTTGAAGTTCGTGTTTTATGTGGCATGTACAGTGGTTTCTCTCCCTCCCCATTCCTCCTTTTCTCCATGAATAAGTTGCCAATACTTAAAGATGAGATTTTTTTTATATATACCAATGGGTATCTTTTAGTTTCTCTTTAAACTGAAACTCTGGCAGAAGTGGACTAGCATTCTCAAATACCACGTCTACTGGAAGCAAGTAAGTCTACCTACTTTAGACGGGCATGCACTTGTATTCTTCAGTACTATTCTTTACACCTGGGATGTTTTGTTCATGTGTGTATTGGGTTTCTGGGAAAGTTATGACATATTTTTCTATGCAAAAATGCAGGGATTTTGGGCACAAATGTTTCAAATGAGACTTGAGCTGCACTCTGAAGAATGACTAGGATCTTCAGAGTGGACAAAAAGCAGCTGGATGTTAGAGAAAAAGAAATGATGTGAACGAGTGTCTGAAAACACATAGAGAAATGTATTTACTAGACAATGTGGAGCACATACCTGTCCTAATGTAATGGTGACTAAAGACAAGTACAGCCTTGTCCCATTGAGCCTTCAGTCTGGTAGATAAAAACTGTTTTTAAGGTTAGCCCTCAGAGATTTCAAACTGGTATTTCTCTGGGTCAGATTTTGAGTTGAAGTTCGTGTTTTATGTGGCATGTACAGTGGTTTCTCTCCCTCCCCATTCCTCCTTTTCTCCATGAATAAGTTGCCAATACTTAAAGATGAGATTTTTTTTATATATACCAATGGGTATCTTTTAGTTTCTCTTTAAACTGAAACTCTGGCAGAAGTGGACTAGCATTCTCAAATACCACGTCTACTGGAAGCAAGTAAGTCTACCTACTTTAGACGGGCATGCACTTGTATTCTTCAGTACTATTCTTTACACCTGGGATGTTTTGTTCATGTGTGTATTGGGTTTCTGGGAAAGTTATGACATATTTTTCTATGCAAAAATGCATCACGACCTTTCCGACAACCCAATTACCCACTCCGTGTATGCCTTTGCGTTTGAAGTCCTGGAGCAGTGGTTTACTTCTGTCCCTGCTCTCCTACATTTTTTTCAACAAACTTCAATAGGAGAAAATACAGGAAAAAGCATAACTTGTCTTAGAAAAATCCCCATTTGAAACTATTAAATGTTATATTAGGTCATCAGGAAAGTCATGATATATTTTTCTATACAAAATCCGTCATGACTTTCTCAACAACCCTAGTACTCAGACCATAAATACTTTTTACTAAACTGTGTGCTAGACACTTGACTTTTCTCTGTTGAGCTTTCTATAGCCTCCTTTTGATCTAGGTTCGGAAAGTTTAAGTAACTTAATTTGTCTTAGTACTTACTGTGGAATCTAATCCAAATCTCTGACTACAGACTCCTCTATGTAGATAACTGTTGGTTGTCTGGAAGGTATATGTTCAACATATATTTACTGAATATGGGCAGAAGTTCAGTATTCAAAGATATGTAACAAACTGCTTCTCAGGTAAGTAACATGGAGGTTAAAGTGGCTGCATCCCACATGGCTGACTGCAGTTCCAGTCTCAGACCAGAGATGATGGCTTAAAAAACATGCAAGGTGTGTGTACATGTATGCCCCCAAATCACAAGAAAAGAATGGAGAAGGGACTGTGGCATGCCCCCCCCCCATGGAGGATGATTTATCAGTCTCTCACTCTAACTCTGGCAAGCACAAAGCCCTACAGCAAAAGCAACAGAATATTAAAAAAGATCCAAGGGGGCCAGCCGGTGGTGTGGGGGTTAAGGTGATGGCCCACATGGCCAACTGCGGTTCCGAGTCTCAGACCTGGTGGGGGACTAGGCATAAATGCGTGCATGCCCAAAATCCCAAGAGAATAGAGGAGAGAGTATTGTTGCATGGCCTGAGGGGTGATGTCTCACTTTCCCTCTCTCTGTCTCCCTCTGGCAAGCTCATGTGTCCTACGGCAAAAACCTTAAAAAATAAGGGAGTGGGTATTGATCTGAGAAGAGTTGAGAACTATTTTCTAATTATGTTCCACTTGTTGTTGTACCTGTAGTGCTTCACAGAAGACAAGCTTTTTGAACTAGTCAATTGATGGTTCACAGATTTTTTTTTCCCTTTATGAGTGGGAGAGGGAGATAAGGAAGAGACAGAGATAGGCATTTTTTGGTAGTGTTTCCCATGTTCACATTTGGGACCCCAATGTGTGCATTTATGCCCCAAAATCCCAAAAGGAGGGAGAAATGGAGAAGGGACTGTGCCATGACAATTCCCCATGGAGCATGGACACTTTCTTACTTTCCCACTCTCTTTTCCCCTAGCAAGTGCACCTACCCTATAGCAATTTTTTTAAAAAAAAATAAAGAAAAGAACAGGGCCAGCAGGTGGTGTGGTGGTTAAGGGCACTGGACTCTCACATGGCCAAGCACAGTTCGAGTCCTAGACCTGATGGCTTGCTTTGTCACTTTCTGTCTCTCTCACTCTCTCCTACTCTGTCCCTCTCTGTTGAAACTGAAATAAATAAAATTAAATAATTATTTTTTTAAAAAAAGGAAAAATGGAGTAAACGTATAAATTTATTTTTGATGCAAAAAAAATTTTGAAATCCACACAGTTTTTTTCATAATATGTATTTTTCCATGAATTTATTGAAGACTCCCCCTCTTATACATTCTTGATTCCTGAGGATACAGCTTTTGTTTATGTGGTCATATCTGTTGATATTTATCATAATATAAAACGAAACTAATGAAATTTTAAATCGTTTATTAATTCATTTAAAGTACTAACAAACTCATTACATGTTAATATAAAAAACAATTCTTTGAAAAATATTTTCCCAAACAAAGAAGTTATCAGAATGACAGTTTGAGATCTTTGCAAATTTCTTTCAAAACCAGCTTAACAGAAGACAGCTGAATATTCATATTTGCTTCTGCATACAATCCGTTTTGATATGTTGTTTTGGTTAAAGTATATGAAGAAGATATGCCTCATGCAGAAATGTAAATGGAAAAGAGAAATATTTTAATAAATTGTCTTTCCAGCTAACAATAGATAATTCATCTTTTATTCAATATCACAACTCAATAGCAATTCAAGTGGCAATTCTTAATGGTTACTTGCAATGTGGAATCAGAACCTATATCAATAAACTTTTTGGCTATTATATAAAAATCCATTGGTCTATGTTGTATTTTTAATGGATCTCCTACTCACACATGTTTCTGTAACATACTGAATTCATATTAGGAAAATACTGGTTCAACGAATTAAACAGACATTCCAATTGCTGACACCCTTTTCTTACTGTTTTCAAATTACATTCCTTAATATCATCACCAATCTCATCAGAAAAGTCTTTAAGTATTAAGAAACTTGAAAATTTGTAGTGACTGATAGAAGTTTTCCAAAAATTTAATTCTCACTTGAAAGATCAGATTTTATCACTGGTAACAAATAGTTGTTTTCATTCATTTTCTAGGAAATACCTGCCAAGTTTAGGCAACTATAGTTTACTCATTAAGTAAAAATAAAAATGAAGGCAAGTGGTTTACATGGTGGGTAAGGCAGTGGGACTCACACAGTCAACTGCATAGTCTGAAACCCAGGTCCGGTAGCTTGAAAAATACATCAGGTACATGTGTGCATGCCCAAGATCCCAAGAGGAGAATGGATTGTGGTGTGGCCATCCCTCCTGGGGTATGAGGGGTCTGTCCTTTCTCATTTTCTCTCTCTCTCTGGAAAGTGTACACTTAAAAAACTTTAAAAATAATAAAATAAAAATGATGTTTCACCTAAAAAGCAGCTAGAGGGCTGATTCCATAATGCAGTGGTGGTACACTGCTGGAGGAAGGCTGGATCTCATGTGGGAATTATGGTTCACATCTCTGACCTGGTCAGCCTGACACATGCTGGGCACATGCACAAGTACCCAGATTCCAATAGGCTAGAGGACTGGCGAAAGAGGATGGCAGCATGACCAGACCCTATGGAGGATACTCCTCTAATCTTACTCCTGTGGATATACAACAGACTCTATCATAAACAAATGAAACTATTAAATTAATTTAAAAAAAAAAAAAAAAAAAGGCTGGTAACAAATAGTTGTTTTCATTCATTTTCTAGGAAATACCTGCCAAGTTTAGGCAACTATAGTTTACTCATTAAGTAAAAATAAAAATGAAGGCAAGTGGTTTACATGGTGGGTAAGGCAGTGGGACTCACACAGTCAACTGCATAGTCTGAAACCCAGGTCCGGTAGCTTGAAAAATACATCAGGTACATGTGTGCATGCCCAAGATCCCAAGAGGAGAATGGATTGTGGTGTGGCCATCCCTCCTGGGGTATGAGGGGTCTGTCCTTTCTCATTTTCTCTCTCTCTCTGGAAAGTGTACACTTAAAAAACTTTAAAAATAA